TAAGGAATTTATGTGATACTGTTTTTACAGTAATTTGCAATGCTCCAGTAACTGAATATGTTTTTTATTATAACGATACGTAATTTACTTTGAAGCTTTAGTAATTATTTAATAAAGTTTTAATTTTTTTTTTGATTTCACGGGAAAACCTGTAAAGTGAAATAAAAATTCTCTTAATTTGGTCTTTTAATATGATGTAGATAGATTCGCTGTATATTCCATTTATGGTCAGCGTTTTTTATTAAGAAACCTGTGGTGCCACAACCACAAAAATTTCTGTTATTAAAGTTATAATATAGAGTCTCTGAATTTTTTGAATTGGTTCTAAAATGATTTTGAGTGTGTAACGAATTAATTTTGATTATTGTAAACTAGAGATCTTTCTAGAAATAACTACATACAGTTTGGTTCCCTTATTCTAACGAATTTTGAAATTATCTTTATTTAGAAAAATATTTATTGAACGAAAAATAAGCGCAGTTTTTAGGGCCATCACTTATTATTTTTTTTATAAAATCAAAAAATACTAATTAAAAAAAAACTTTTCTACTGACTTTACTCGAATATCATTTAAAACTTGCCACACTTATTCAGTAAAATATCACTTGTAAGCTTGTGAGGAATAATGCTGTGATCAAGTTAACTTTTCTTTGGGTTCAGTTCTGTTTTAAAAATTGTAATTTGAAAAAACTGATAATAAATTGAATTTATTGGGTCCAATACTTCATTAAAGAATGGGGGAGTCACGAGGGTCTATGAATACAAACTCATTGTTTATGTAATTTATGCAGAATTTTCTATTCTTCTATTTCTGCGTCAAAATTTCCTACAAAAATGGTCCTACTTATTTTTCTTGTAGGACTAACCGTAAGCTTCTGAGATATAAATAAAAATTTTGGAAGAAAGAGAGAATCAATTTTTAAGGGGGTGAAATGGGGTGTAAACGTTTAAACAATGATATAAACATAAAATTCTTGAGAGGTGTAAAGGGGCACTAAAATCAGATTTTTCGAAAATTAGTTTTTAAGGAAATGAATATAGAAATATAAAATTTAGAAAATACGATCCTTAGAGAGTGTAGAAGTGCACTAAGACGACACGCGGACGAAGTCGCAGGCAAATGATAATATATAATATAATTATTATA